AATTCGGTGGCGTTTTTGTAATTAATGTAAAAATCGCGGTTTATGCTAAATGAGCATCAATGTACTGTTGATGAGCAATGGTTCAATTTTATTGAGTATTAAGCGTCTAATTATGAGCACTGTGTTATTACAAGAAAGCTGATATCACAACTAAAAATGGTGATATTTTCGTAATTTCAGTGAAAATCGTGGTTTTCGTCAGATGAGCACTAATACACTTTTAATGAGCATCATACGTATTGTACTAAGCACTAAGAGTCGAATAATGAGTATTGTGATATCAACTTCATATATTGTAATTCACTTTCTTTTTCTTATTTTTTCTTTTATAAAATCTCATTAAATTATACTCCCTCCGATTTTTAATAAACTTCACACTTTCCTTTTTGGGACGGTCTAAAATAAACTTCACACTTCCTTATTTCCTTTTTTGGCAAAGAAATCTACATCAAAACAATGTCAAGCAGTGCCAAACAGTGTCTCTACAGTGCCAAACAGTGTCTCTACAGTGCCAAACAGTGTCAAACAGTGCCTCAACAGTGTACTTTACAGTAAAGTCAAATTTCATTCCTTATTTTGTGTGAAGTCAAACTGTGAAGATTAAAAAAACCGGAGGTAGTATTCAAATAAGTTCCTATGCATTTCAATATGTGAATCTAATGCAATATGATACTTTTGAAATATGCATGGTTATATGACATTTTAAAAATGAGCACATAAGTACCAAATGAGCAAACATAACGTACAAATGAGCATTTATAATTTTATATGAAAATCGTAAGTTTTGTTAGTTGAACATCAAACCTCCCTTTATTGGGTATTAAGATTATGCAATTTAGTGAGCATCAGACATGTTTTGTTGGGTATTAAGAGCCTAACAATGAGCATCGTGATCTCTTTAATTTCTCATATCTTCGAATTTACTTTGAGTTTCTAATTTTTTTCTTTTATAAAAACTTATTAAATATCTATAATCAACTGCTATGAACTTCAATACGTGAAATAATACTTTTGAAATATGCATTGATATGATAATTTAAAAATGAGCATAACATGAGTATCAATTGAGCAAACGTAACTTACAAAATGAACATTAATATGAAAATCATAAGTATTTTTAGTTGAGTATTAAGACATTTTCATTGAACATCAAACATTTACTATTGAGTATTAGAAACATGCAATTGAGTATGATTCTAGGTGCTCCTGTACCTATAATCAACTCTTACGTAAATATAATGTAATATAACTCTTTTAAAATATTTATTGGTATATCATTTTAAAATGAGCACAAAACCGATAACAAATGAGCATACTAACATACCAAATGAGTATCGAAAAATTTTAATGTACTCAAATATCCATCTATATATGCTCATTTTTTAAAATGTAAAGGAGTATGATTTGGACCTATTTCTCAATTCCAATTCAATAAGCACTACGACACTCCAGATTGATTAGCTACAGTACGCCGTATGATTTAGCTACATTACGCCGTATGAATTAGCTACAGTGCTCCGTATGAATTACGGAGTAATTGATACTTCTATTCAATTTTAGGAAGAACCGGTCGTAAGCCTCCTATGAATTAGCAGAGAAGAAATCCGATGGTCTTCTCTACCAAGATTCCACCGTCTGCCCGGACAAAAACCTCCCCACACCCAACACCAGCCGATTCCGTCTCCCTGTTTTCTCATCAAAGACATCAGATCCACAATTATAATCAGGCTTGATATTGAATTTAATTTCAAAAATACGCGACTGTACAGTGTTCACCGTACAACCGGCTATACGGTATAATCTGCGCATACTAGAAGTATTTTATGCTGTGGTCCCGAATTTTAGAAGGATTAGGCAATTATTTAGCTTGTGAAAATGTATAATCACATGTGGATATCGTGCTTTGATTAGTCTTCTGCCGTATAGAATCCATCAAACTCAACTCCACTTGTGCGATTAACAGTTAACACAAACATAAAAAAGTTTTTTTTATGGAATCATATCAATCACCGATCTTATTCGGTCAATATCATATACAGTACGTAGTAGCTTTCAATCAACACGTCACGCGGGCAAATAAGCCCTCCAACAGCGAACTAACCAAAAAAATGCAAATTTATCCTTATATAGAAAGCTCTGTCCGACCGTCACCATTTGAAGTGGTTCCCGGTGAAATTTTTTGATGAAATTTTGCAATTGACAATTTTTGTTGGGACTGTTACTAAGATGACAATTAGTTAACATCTTGACATTAATTACTACTAGAAACAATCAATGAACCGATTGCTAATCATTGATGCTTTCACAAGTAAGTAACTTCGGGTTATTAATGTACGGTCGTGGTTAATAATATTAAGAGGGATTAATTGTGTTGCTTAAACCGAAATTGTTGGGTTGAGGTTATCAATCTCAGTTGATTTCATCAAGGAGTTAAGAGATTAATTCCTACTATCAAGTCGGTATATGGTGGCGTTCTATACTTAGCTAATAGTCAGGGTTATTGATGAACGGTCGTTGTTAATAACTAACCTCGATGAATTGGAGATACTCCTCGATTGAGCATTCGAGAGGCCGGGGATAAGTTGTAGATATAACAAGGATCAACAAACATATCAACAAGTGGAAAGTAGCAAAGTCAAATTCTTTTTATCTTTGAATTAAATCACATATAAGTTGTTCATCTTAGTGTTTAATTGAATTAAAGCACTCAATCCTAAAAAACCCCTTTTATTTACTAGTTTTATAAAAAGAGAAGTATTTCTTTCCCTGCGGATACGAACCTTACTACACTATACTACGGTATTAGTGCGAGTAATGTATTTTAATTTGAGAATTGAGACACACAACGACTTTAGTGCTGTCCAATTTGGCGTCGTTGCCGGGGAAAGGCAATTATTTTTATTTTTATTTTATTTCAAGAAAAAATCAAAAAACAAAATACTTAAAAAAGTATAAAGATTTCTAATTTTTCTGAGCTTTGTTTGAGTATATGGTAAAAACTCGATCTATAAACCAACTCACCTACCAAACAAACCCCGAAATAGACCTTCGAGAGGTTGAGGAATTTATTTCCAAACACTTCTTCGGAGGAATCATCAAGTGCTAGTTCTAATTCTAGCGAGCCCGAAGAGCCAATAACTATGGCTCTTGAAACAAGAACATTGAGGGAGCTCACAGCTCCTAATCTCAACCAACAACCCCTATGTATCACCTTCTCAACTCTTGATGTGGGTGCTACATTTGAGTTGAAATTCGGGCTGATTCATCTACTACCTTCTTTCCACGGTCTGAGAGGAGAGGACCCAAACAAACATCTCTCGGAATTCCATATTGTTAGCACAAGCATGTGCCCAAATGGAGTCACCGAGGAGCAAATCAAGTTGAGGGCTTTTACATTCTCCCTCAAAGACACTGGGATTCGCTATTCTATCTTCCTTCGGGAAGTATAGACACAAGGGCAGCAATGAAAAAATGCTTCTTGGAAAGGCATTATCCCGTCTCCGTCTCATCTTCTTTGAAAAAACAAATAAGCAACATTGAACAAGAAGAGAACAGGACGTTGTATGAATTTTGGAAGCGCTTCAAAAAGCTTTGTGTTAGTTGCCCATACCATGGGTACACGGAGCAAGACATCATCCTCTACTTCTATGGTGGTCTTGTGGATCAAGATAGACGCATGGTGAATGCGGCATGTGGAGGGGGAATTGTTAACAAAACCCCTTCTCAAGCAAGAAATCTCATCTCAACGTTGGCCGAGAATTCTAGACATTACAATGGGTGGTCCTCAACCCGAAGGATTGCCGCAGTAGAGTCCAACACATCGTTGGCAAGTCAAGTTGCCGGCTTGACTTCTTTAGTGAAGGATTTTCTTTTAAATCCCAAAACTCAAGAAGTCAAGGTCTGCGGCATTTGTGGAACACAAGGGCATCCTACCGATTCTTGCCCTTCGCTACAAGAGGAGAACGCTGAACAAGTAAACGCCTTGGGGTTCCAAAACCAAAAGACGAACGAGCCATACGGAAACACTTATAATCCGAGATAGAGAGATCATCCAAACTTGAGGTATGGAAATTCTCAACGACCTCAACAAGTCCCAGGGGTTTTGGGGGTGGGGGTGGGGGTGGGGGTGGGGGGAGTGGGGGTACAAAAAATTCTATAAATACACCTAGTTTCTAATACTCCTACTTTCTAACATTTTCCTACACGTCTTTTCCAACTCTTATCCATCTTCATCTTCTCTTATTATATCTAGTTATCTACCATTTTAAAGATGGAAAGTCAATATGCCCTTATGAAAAATAATTTTGATAAGTGGAAGGACCCGAAGACCGGGATGTGGTACGCAACTTGCAAGTGGTGCAAGAAAGATTGTAGCTTGGGGATTTCACACGGATACGGGAGTAGTGGTGGACTCGGGCCGGGTGGCCCAACTCGAAACCGGACCCGGCCCGGTACTGTTAGAAGTTAGAACCGGCCCGACCCGGTGGCCCGGCCAGGGACCAATCCGGGTAGGCCCGACCTGAGGGGTTTTCTGGTGCGGGCTTGGGTCAGGTAAATAAGGAACCGGCCCGGTCGGGCCGAGCCCGGTTCGGGCCATTTTTTTTCAATTTTTTTTTGAATTCCTGGCTTAGGCTGGGTATTTTGGGCCATTTGGGGTGGTTTGGGGGTGGGGGTGAGGGGGGGAGGTCGGGGGTTAAGTAGAAAAAGGCAAAAAAATAGAATTTGGCACGAGGCCCGACCCAACCCGGACCCAGGGGTTACCCAGACCGGTTCCGAGCCTACCTCCCAACCCGGACCCGGGGGTTACCCAGACCGGTTCCGAGCCTACCTCCCAACTTCTAAAGCCCGACCGGGCCTAGTCCCGGCCTGGGTCCATCACTATACAGGAGTGTCACAAGACATTAAGTCCTATGACAAAAACAAAGGCAAGGAGGAAACAACAATCAACAGCAGAAATTCTGATGGATTATTATATTATTATTTATTAGAACATGTATTTCATATTGTAATTTTTTTCTCAATTCTCAAACGTAGTTCATATTTCAAATAAATGCACTTGGAGTTTGTTTTTATATGCAGCACTTCTAGAATTAATTAAGAAACAAGAAAAAAAAGCCCGGCCCGAACCGAACCAGCCCAGTACCCGGGCAGGTGGCCCAGCCCGAACCAGTACCGGTCAACACCCGGGCCGATTCCGGGCTACACTCCAACACCTCCAAGTCCGGCCAGGCCTAGGCCGGAACCGGATCGGGCCCGGTCCATGACTATTCACGGACATAACAAAAAAACATGCTACGCATTTCAGAAGAATTCTGAAGTATTTACAAAAATAAATCACTTTATGTGCACTCTAGTATAATTCTAGCTTCACATTGGTGTCATCAGCAACATTGTACTTGGCTAGACTCCCCGGAAGCTCTATAGGCACAATTCTGCCGCGATTATACCCATCAATGAGCATCTTCCCAATTTTGGTCCTCCATTCTGAGCTATCCCTCTCCTGTTGCTTTCTGTCATGAACCACTCTATCACAGTAGTTGAGCATAGATCCCAGGCCAGTGTTGGGGGTCCAGCCGTACCCAACCAGCACTCTTGCTTCTCCTTCACTAACGTCCTCCCCAACCTATGCAATGATATACCAAAAGGATAAAAACAAAGGTTTAGTCCATCCACATCATCAACTGATTTGGTCAACAATTTATTTTTGAATAAATAATGTCCTTGATTATGCAATATGGACCTAACTTAATCATGGTATTAACTACAAAAAATATTTTTGTCAGCTCACCAAAGTTAGACCTAATTTAGGAGTCGCCTATGCAAACCAAATGAGACCAAATTAGAAATGTAATGATAAAATAAAACATATGGAGTACATAATGTTAAACCAAAATAAACTGGAAGTCTGGAACAGACATAAACATACAAGTCCAGACTAGACTTACACATACAAACCAATTCAATTGAGAGTGTTCTGACCAAACCATTCAGAGTGTTCTGACCAAACCAATAAATTCCGACCCAAATGAAAAAGTTGTTAAGTCGAGCGATGTATGTCTAGAATTACATTAGGTCGATTTGCATAGCGCAGAATATTTCAGTAAAAAAGGCAGAAGATCAGAATGTGTAATAGTATAGTTGAGGGGTTAAACCAAGTAGCACGTCTTTTAAGAAGAAGATAAGAAAAAGTAGGGCGACAATTACCAATATTGCTCTGTTCTCGATTAACGAGACCCTACTGCAGCTAGTAAGCTTCATAGCCGTTATCAATCGCCTGATCTGCCATTGTATCGGTATAGATCCAACCAATTCAAAGAAATATGTTGCATACCCATACTCTGGGCGTTCAAGAACAATCCTGAAACACGTAAATAAAAACATTGACATATATTAGACTATTAGAGGTTCAACACCTCATTCATTTGATCTGACCTGTTATGTCTTTCAAAAACGAATATGAATGATTGGAGATCTCGACACCATCCCCACTCAACAGGCCATTTTCTTAACCGTAAATGTTGTGCCTGCAAGTGAAAAAGAGTTGGAACTATTATATTTATAAGACAATCATAAATCTTTTGAGAAAATGTAATGATGAGGAATGATCAAGGAAAAGCTTTTGACGTCAAATCACAAGAACAGAGTTTTTATACCTGCTCTACAAGTGAAAATAGACATGCGAGACAATAACTAGCTTTCTCTCCCTTTAAAGAATGCATTGCAGGAAGTTTAAGCAATGAATGATGCCTGGAAAACAGCTGCATCAAAAATTTAAAAGAGGCAATAAAAGCCAGGTGTCAGCATCATCATCACTATCACCTTAATCCCAACTACTTACGTTGAGGCTGGTGGCATGAAATTTATAATCTTAATTAGTTGTCTAAAATTAGTTTACATTATAATAATGCCACATTAGTCATTGTGAAATTATACCAAAACCTACATAACCTTCACAAAACTACTACACCAAAAATATAGGGAACAGATTAACTTTTTTAACTAATATTGAAATGCTAAATTTGGTGCTAAAAATATCATAGATATGACTAAAACTTCCTATTTCACAATCTATGACTTTATTAGTTTTTCCCAAACACAATAGTTATTTGAAAATATTTTAAAAAATATATTTGATAGATAAAATGATAAATAGTAGTAACTTATATGGACTATTATGCCCTTAACTTATTTTTATTAAGCCCTAACTTCCTATCTCTTTCTATGATCGATTGGCGGCACCTCTTACCCCCCCCCCCCCCCGATGGACAAGGGTGCTCAGAGGAGGGCACCGAATCGAAGGCTAGAGACAAAGGGCACCTTGAGTCACCCACACCATCCAATAGAGGTTCCGAAGATGAGTGGATTGTGTCGGTGCCTTGTCATTGGTACAAAGGATGGCCTCAGCTGCTGATACAGGCGAACTAGGACTGCGTTCTTAGGCGGACGAGGGGTGCTGGGAGATTTGACTCACAAGGTGCTGCGGTCTTCCTTGCTCTAGCTGACCCCATAATTGCCGGAAACTAAACTTGTGCAGTGAATGAATGCATTGAGGAAGGGTGGGTGGGGTGCAGTGAATGGAAGGCAATGAATAGTGTCACAATGTCTTCTTTAATTCCTTAATTCTTCTTTTTGTTGTTCAATACATTGTAGTAACGCCTATCGCCTACACAAGGACTAGTCGGAGACATAGAAATTGTAAAACAACAACAACATTCAAGCCTTACTCCCAAAAGATTTTGGAGACATAGAAATTATATTTTTGTAAATATCTTTTTGACATGTAATATTGTGTGTGTGTATATATACACACATTAACATGCATGAATGATAAAATATTCACATTTAATAATATAATTTACTAATCACTTAACTTAATTATGTAATATATTAAATAATAATAAAGATTAAGACTATACAAAACATATACTTTGTATCTTAACCTACAAGTAGTTTATGCATATGCATGGTTGTTTTGGGTGATATTGACATCGTTATGGATTTAAGTCTTTGGGCCAATGCTTCTTTGAGGATGGCCATATAAATTTTTCCAAGAGGCTCATCATGAACACACAATATTTGAGTTGTTTTATATACTAAGTTAGTAACTATTGTATATTGTTCATGTGACTCATTTTTGTATTTAGTTGTTCTATATTTTAATATCCTTTTTTGTATTGAATTTTAAATAATTGAAAAAATCGCTAACTAATACTCCCTCTGTCCCAAAGAGAGGTTCCCGTTACGGTTTACGATGTTTGACTAGCGATAAAGTAACTTAATCCCTATTCACACTCTGATTATTTTTAGCAAATAAAATTTACATATTCAGAAACTACATTAAAACTGCTACAAAGCCTGATCAAAAAATGTAAATATGATTAAATAAATTGATATATAAAGCAAAAAAAAATAAGAATGATTTAAGTTGACCATGTGAATAGTGGACGGGAACCTTTGAATGGGACGGAGGTAGTATCACTTTCCATCGAACTTTGCGCAATTTCTTCTTTTAAATATGTAGTATTTAATAGTGCTAAATTGCTAATATTGCACCCCAAAACCCTATTATATATTTTTAACATCCTAAATTCTCGTGCTTTCACACTCTTCTTTCTATATTTTAAACTTAGCGTCTTAGCCTGCATCTCTTTCTTGGATGTATAAGTCATCAACTAACATGATAGTATCTGCAATTAGGTGAGGCATTATCTATTACGTACGTAGTATCTCCTAACCATTACAAGTCAGTCACAGAGAATTATCCTTGTTACTAAATCGTATTTTCACACCTTTATTATAATCTCTTCAAGCTCAGCGAAACTATCTTCTGTAGACAAATCATCCAGAGGCTCGTTGCTCTCAGGTTCCCCGTAAAGTTTAATTTCATGAACCGCTACACCTTTCTCAAGCAGTGCCTGCCCAAAGACTTAAAATCCATAAGGATGTCAATATCACCTACAACACCAAAGAATTGCAAAAGGTACCTTAAGAAGTCCAGGAGCGTCTTCCTCCATTGCTAATTCAACTGAATCTCTGAAAGGTTGCGAGAAAGAAAACATGGGATTAAACCTCAAAGCTTTCACCCTCATAGCCAGGGAAAATGAAAAGAAATAAAATCCTAATAGATACACATGAAATCAATTCATTACAGCATATCAATAAATCTTACGTGGCAGTCTTTCTCCGCTTTCGTGAAATTTGAATTTTCACTGGTTTGGCAGTTGCAGATGAAATGGGTGTGGGTTCAACCATAGCGGGTACTGTTTTTATCAAAGAAACTGCTATCCCATCACCTCCAGATGAACAAATTGCATTTGCATTTCGTGAAAATAGCTGCAACCGTTCTCGCAGAGACATGTGATCGAGTTCATCTATGCTAGAATCATAAGGAACTTCTTCTCTCTTAACTGGAAGGGAAAAATTATATAGTGGATTGTCTTTAGCATGTTTTCCTCTGGTATCTAACTCGATGCTCTCCAAGGGTTCGACCTTCACCTCAACAATATCTGCACAAAGGCTATCTGAAGGAAGATCTAATTCATGACTTGATTCATGCTCAGAATGAACTTTCTTTAGAGAGCCTAACAAATCATTTCCTTGCACTCTGTCCGGTACTGCATGATTAATCATTGGGGGCACTATTTTGATCAAAGAAGCTGATATTGCATCACCTCCAGATGACCAAATTGCATTTACATTTCCTGAAAATAACTCCAACCGTTCTCGCAGCGACTTGTGATCAAGTTCATAAGGGGTTTCTTCTCCCTTAATTGGAAAGGGGGAAATATAAAGTGGATTGTCTGTAGCATGTTTTCCTCTGGTATCTAACTCGGTGCTACTTAAGGGTTCGACCTTCACATCAACAATATCTGTACCAAGGCTATCCGAAGGAAGATCTAATTCATGACTTGATTCATGCTCAGAAAGAACTTTTTTTAATAATAAATCATTTCCTTGATCAGAAAGAACTTTCTTTAAAGAGCATAAGAAACCATTTCCTTGAACCCTCTGTGATGTTGCTTGGTTGAGTGAATATTCGTTCGGGCAGGAATCAGTCAATCCATGATCTCTAAAATTCAACAAATCATACGTCTTAGAATGACCTCCAGCCATCTGAAAGTCCCTATCACGGGGTTCATCATTTCCCTTTCTTACTCCAGTACCTTCATTGATTAAGTCATCTTCAGAAAAGCTAGAAATTTCTAGTGAGTTATCCTGCATTAAACAACAAGAACACTTATTCAGCAATCTTGAAAATAAAGAGAAAAGAAATGCATAAAAACACTAACAGGAATCCATGTAAAACTGTAAAAGACAATATTTCATGGCAGTTCTTTCTAAATGTAATAGTGAACATTACATAGAACATACATGGATGCGAATAAGAAGTAAATGGCAATTGACCAAACAACTCCCACATTTACAAAATAATTTCCCTAAATGCAATTGATCTACAGTCAAGAGTTGACAGAAATTAAAGAGTAAACAATGCCATATTTGGTGATGCCACTGGCAACCTGTGGTCATGTAACCACTGCTCTCCCTCAAGCTAAGGATGACTACTCAAATGAGGACTGTAAAAGGGCAACCCGGTGCACGAAGGCATCCTGCAAGGCGAGACCGCGAGGGTCTAGGGAAGGGTACCACTACAAGGGTGTATAAGGGGCAAACCTTCCCCTGCCAAATTTTGACAAGCGACCGCTCCCAAGACTTGAACCCTTGACCTCTCAGTCACACAGCAACGCCTTAACCGGTGCACCAAGGCTTCCCTAACATATAAGTTATATATTCGATTTAAAACAAGAAATGTGCACTTGCAAAGCATTAGCAATAAAAAATAGTCAAAAAAGCGCTTTGAAAATAACTTTTGAAAGGAAAAAATGACTTCTAGGAGGGCATAGAAATGTCCTTACAAGATAGTATTAAAGGGAAAAGGATTGAGAAGAATATTATTCACCAACGGTTTACAGAATCCTATCTTGTTGCATGACTCTTGCAACAAGTGGAAAAATATTTGGAAGAGGATTTGCAAATGACAAACTATAGACATAAGAGATAAAGTACCTCCATAGTTTTCCTTTCGAAAGATGGTGCTCTCCTGGAAATTAAGATTATAAAAAGACAGTTAAAGATATGATACTAATATAATTTATTGTATAAAAGAACCAGAGATACTACACATTTTATGTAACAATTTGAAAACCTAAAAATAGTGGAGGAAAATGGCACCTAGATAGCAGCATTCTTTGTCTCTCTTTTAGTACAACAAAATCCAGATCATCCAAAAAGTCACTAGGAATCTCATTCTTCTCTGGTGTCTCCATATCAGCACCAGATGAAAATTTTATGCATTTTTTCCGTAAATTGGCATCAGAAACCTTTGTTATAACGGCAAGGTGTGATGGAGACATCTGTTGAAGTGAATTGGCTGCATCAACTTTTCCTGATATAATATTATTATCAGCAATCAACTGGCACATGCTCTCATCTCCTTTGCCTAGTATCCAATATAGTTAGGCAGTAGGATGATAAATTACACACAAGGACAAATCAGAAAAGAATATAATACTCTCTAGGATTTATTAACTGTTAGCTTGTACTGTTCATACACATGATTGTCATAAAGCATTGCATTAGAACTTTTACCAGTATCATTTTGCTGAACTTCCAAACAGCCAACCTTCTCCTCCTGAATAATTTAAAATAGTACAGAACATCATTTGATGAGTAAGCCACCAATAAAATATAGCAGATAAAGGAACCACAAATACATGAGTGAGTTCTAGGCATAAGGCAATATTAGTGTTTTACTCAACTGTTCAGTAGTACTCAAAACCAACAAAATAGATTTACAACATTCCACGAGTAGAAATAACAATGATACGGAGAAATATTAATAGTGATAATAATGATGATAAAACAATAAAAGTAATATAGTTTGGTAAATGCAACATCTAGTAAGAAACTTTCATTAGAGGCAATTAAAGAGATCAATAAAAATTGAAAACAAAACAGAAAAAAAAAAAAATACAGCGCCAAATATAGGTCAGTTCATGTAATAAACATGAAACTTGATACATGTTAATAATAATCAGGATGTTTTCAAATAATAATAATAAAAATGGCGCTTTCAAATACTAGGATGACAATGACAACAATAGGACAACCAAGCCATACTAACAATCAGAAAGTTGAATTGAAGATACTACAATACCTGTGAGTAGAAATGGTTGCTGTAGCTTCGAGCATAAATATTATGTGGGGGCCTGCATACATCAAACTCCAAAAAGAATTAAACTTCTATTAAAAGATCAGGGTTTTGAAATGAAGTTGGAGCCTTTCTTCAGGCAAGTAATAGAGCGAACTTCCAAAATACTAAAATTGAAATCATCTTAGTTTTGCAAAGAAATGTAATATAAAAAATGCAGCGAAAACAAAAAATGAATAAACTCACTCGGAAACAACAGCAATTTCTGCTTCGGATTTGAGTGTCCGACTGCTAGTCAGAAGCAATTTCAGACGTTGTTTCAACGGAACGCCTTCTTGTTGCTCCGGCCACAACGCTTCCAAGGATTCGTCCTCCGATTTGATTGGTGCGTCAGATGGAGCCGAAATTCGACCCATTTCTCGGCCTTGCTTCTTCAAACTACCATTGACGGGCACGGCATCCTGTCCAGCTAGAAAGAAAACGAAAACAGAAAAAATTCATAAGCTCTGGTGGAACAAGGAAAATGGAAGATGGAAACGAAGAGGTTTTAAGGGTTCGGCAGAATGCAGGCTTACTTGAAGCGGTCTTTGAGTGGACGAGCTCGACCACGTTCATAGAAGAAAACGGAATATAAAGCGTCTGGTTACTAGCGTTCTCACGCTGCTTGGCGCGAAAATTGAGGAACACGACGAGAGGTGGTTGGGCCTGGGGGTGGGCCTGGGGTGAACAATGTTCACTTCGTGTAGGGCTGGGTCCGAAAAACCGAAAACCGAAAACTAAATCAAATTAAATCAAACCGCAACCAAATAAAACCGAACCGCTAAGAAACCGAAACTGAATGTAAAAAACTGAACCGAACCAAAGTTGTTTGGTTCGGTTTTGGTTATTCTCCTTCAAAACCGAACCGAACAAACCGAACTATTTAAAATATGAAATTTATAATTTAATTGTTACGGATTAATTCTAATTAATCTTAATATCATCATTATTCTTTGGTTTTTTTGTGTTAGAAAAATAATGTTTGTGTTATGTTTAATTTAATTTGGTTTATAAATTCATTTACACATTCATTGTCTGTAATAATGTAGCTATATTGAATGATAATAATATGTGTTTACTAGTTATTCGTAGTAATTAACTTTTTTTAGATAACTTAAAGATTTTATATTGATAAAATAATAAATATTCATCTCAACTATATCACATAGAAGTATAGAATGTATATATTCATGAACTTTTTTCGAACAACTCACAAACAAATTAAATCTATAATATATACAGTTTTATCTATCTCGCATACTCATATAATTCAAGACATATTTATCTCTTCTCATTTTTATTTTTTTTGTCGTTGTATCGTGCTTGCATTCTTTATGTAATATGTTTGATCCCTCTAAGTATTATATCAATTTTGAATCAAATGATAATTTTTTGGTAAAAAACCGAAAAAACCGAAACCGAACCGAAACAAACCGAACCAATCAAACCGTGGTTCCAAGTTTTGGAGTGTAAAACCGAACCGAAACCGAACCAAACTTTTTACTTTGATTCTATATTTGGTTTTAGGTCAAAACCGAACCGCAAGAACCGAACTCACCCCCAGTCTCGTGAATTCGAAGCTTCTCCTCAGTGCTAAGCTTGAAATTATCAAATTAAACCGGTGGGTGATGGAATATATGGACTCCGACCCCCCGGTCTGCCGACTATTGGGCCTAGACAGCGGCCCACACACGTTTAGCGGATTCTTATTATTGTACATTATTATTATTCAGATGTTTAAGATTAGCTTTTTATACTATTAGTCCATTTATGTAACCGGGTCTGTCAGGCCCATATTAGAGGTCCAGACCCGGATTTTCCCTATAACCAATATTCATTCATTCTATACACTTTCTTTATTTCTTCTCCATTCTTGTTCAATCAATCCTGTTTATACAATATGGGTATTAATTATCCAACAATGGTGCTCTCGTTGAGAGGTTGAACACAATCAAGTGAGAAAATCTCCCAATTAACCAAAAATTCTTCCCAATCACAAAAAACTATTCTGGAAAAAAAATGATACAACAAGAACAGATCTGCTATGAAAAGTCTGGGATTTCGTAGATCTGGCCGGAGCCCAGCCCACCACCAGCGGCGACGCCACAGCAGGGGCATGCTCTACAGCGAACCTGCGACCCGGAGAACCACCGGCGAGGTACGGTCTCCGCCGTCTCGCTCGCGACGACGCCTAACTCCCGGCAGCTCCGCCACCGCTTCGGCCTCCATCACAGCTCAGGAAAAGCCTAGGTCATGACTTCCATCTTCCTAAGCCATTTTCTTCGGTTGCCGGAGCTCGACCTCGGAGGTCCGCCATTACTGGCCACCTCAAAGCTCCGAAGAATGACAGGTCTGAGTTTCGTCAACTCCGCCGCCGCGCCTGGACCAAATAGCTCTATGGTTGCTCGAGGTCGCGACAGTCTCACGGGGGTCACAGCCTGGCCACATAGTTCTGCATCACTCTTCAATCTCAGATCCTAGATCTGGCGACTTTGCCCCAGCGCAACTCCGGTAGCTCAGTCCGGTACTCCGGACGTGATATGCCAGTCGCCATCACCGCCAAAAGACATACTCCGGCAAAATACCCTTGTCTGTCAGACCTCCGAGGGCCACTTATATTCATGAGACGCCGGTGGAATGTTCCCCTCTCAAGCAAAGGAAGACATTGACTCGGTCAACATTTGTTTTCTAATGTTCTACTGGCTCCAATTATTGCTCGGCAAGGAAGGCGGTCTGTTTTGATCCACAGAGACATATGCAGTTTATTTTGCTCCAATTATTGCTCGACATTATCGGGCCCAAAGCTAATCGGCATGATGAGCCACGCCAATGCCAGTTTATTAGTTGGGCCAGACTTATCCTACCCATATGGATCATCTTGTCCAAGCAACATAATTAATGTTCGAAAGATAAGTACTCTTTAATTTTCATATTATTTATATTTATTTAAATCATTTTTTTGGGTGAATGTCACACTATCACACACTTATGATCAAATGCCTAGTAGAGTGTGGCTTGTGACCCATCACTAGGATTTAAAGCCCTGACTCTCAGGCACAAAGCCCCGACCAAGTCGGACACGAAGACAAAGCTCCGACCAAGTCGGGCACGAAGACCGGTCTTAGTCATTCCTCGAGTGGCGACTGTTGCTCACGAATGGATCACACATCCATTCTACTAAGTATTTTATCATTACATTAACAATTCACATCTCCACTTGTTTTAAGTGATGAACTCCCGATCGGATACATAAATCCCGAGAGAGAAAATTTATATGTATGTTAAATGTGTAGGTACAAAGATGACTTTACTCATTTTCACCTCGTCTCCACTCGCCTCAAAGAGTGGAGACTAGGGGACTGAGGGGTCAGAGTTTCTAGATGAGCAGAAAATATCACGCATGAGCAGGAACGAGGGCTGAGTCGGTTGAAGATGAATTGAGCTAGATTGATTATGCCGGAGGAGACTTACCTCCCTTATTTTATGTTGGGGGCGCTAGGTGTAGGGGTGTGCACAAACCGGTTCAAACCGGAAAACCGGACCGGACCGGACCGAAAAAACCGGAACCGAACCGACCCGGATGATATCCGGTCCGGTTTTCGGTTTTCAAATATTGTAAATCCGGTTTCCGGTCCGGTTCCGGTTAAAAACCGGATTGTTCCGGTTTGAACTGGATTAAACCGGTTTGCTATATTTTTTAATATATTAATTAATAGTCTTAATATAAAATGGTCATAAAATAATAAAAACCAATGATAGTTATAAAAATATAAATAGTAATATTTTTAATATGTAGTATATATTTTCATAATGTTTTATTCATCTATATATTCTTATTTTCATAATAGAATTAACTAATATTTACTATTCTACCCATCAATTGCTTAAATCTTTGCTCTATAAGACTAATAAAGTAAATAAATAAAGGGAGAAATAGTGATATAGTCTTTTAAATTAGCATACATAAAGTTAATAGCAACCATTTATATTTTATAAAACAAATAGCACTTTTCTATATAGTGAACTCGTAAATAAAAGATGCGGATGAGTGTTGTTGAAATAAAATCTAAATTTCAACGTGATAGTAGGTGTTTAATATTGAAACTAAGTCATAGAAGGGCTATTCATTTTATTTTTAATAATACCTACCATTAATTTAAAGGTAGGTATTTAAACATGTATACATACCCAATTTTCTCATAAATAAATAATAGTAGTAATAGTAATACTATTAGTAACAAATACCCCATTTTTATTAAACAAATTAGTTGTATTTTTTAGTATTTTAAATTAATGATTTAGAAACCGGTTCTTTCGGTCCGGTTCCGGTTTTAAACCGATAAGACCGGTCCGGTTCCGGATCAAAACCGGAACATATCCGGTCCGGTTTTCGGTTTTCATTTTCTTACAAATCCGGTTCCGCTTCCGGTCCGGTTCGGTCCGGTCCGGTCCGGTTTTGAACCGGTGCACACCCCTAGCTAGGTGTACTCTTTTTCCCTTTATTAGGATTTTTTCCCACTGGGTTTTTTCCTAGTAAAGGTTTTTAACGAGGCACCTCCCCATCATTGACAAGGGTGATGGTCCCCGGCCGAAGAGGAAGAAACCGAAGACAGAAGAACGTTGCAGATACAGTTTGGACTACTCCCTTTCACCTCGAGTACTCTCGGCTCAGGGAGTGGGGGACTCTTGATGGAATATATGGACTCCGACCCCTCGGTCTGCCGACTATTGGGCCTAGACAGCGGCCCACACACGTTTAGCGGATTCTTATTATTGTACATTATTATTATTCAGATGTTTAAGATTAGTTTTTTATACTATTAGTCCATTTATGTAACCGGGTCTGTCAGGCCCATATTAGAGGCCCAGACCCGGATTTTCCCTATATATACCCTTATAGGAGGCTTGAAAACCATAACCAATATTCATTCATTATATACACTTTCTTTATTTCTTCTCCATTCTTGTTCAATCTCTCCTGTTTATACAATATGGGTATTAATTATCCAACAGTGGGCGTAGCTCAACTGGTAGTGAGAGAGTAGGGTTAGGTTCCGGGTTCAATTTTTGGCAACTGTGGTGAGAGATTACTCAACATAGGGTCACTCCAAGTAACGGGGACAGAGTCTCACTCTCTATCTGTCAGATTGATATTATAGTCCAATTTACATCCTCTCATCGTACCGACCAGTCAGTGCTGGGGGCCCTAGGGATGGAGTGTCATCCTTTTGAAATTATCAAATTACGGGTCGAAAATATTATACACACAGTATCATTACTTCGTGTATATATAAGAAAATAAATAATACCAAGTAAACCCTTCATCTGAAAAATAAGAAAAGGTAATATGTAATCCACAAAAATAAAATAAAAAATTAAATGATAAAAAAGAAAATTGCCAATTATGTTCATTCAATTTGAATTGTTGATAGGTCCCCTTCTACCTCCAAATTGTGAATAGAGAAATAATTTGATAGTATTGAGCACACAATTGAGCATACAAACTTGTTAAACCCGGTAGGTAAAGATTTTTAGTAGATTACCAACATCTTATAAGGTCAAATATTTACTTTATTCTCGTTCCACTATCACGTCATCATTAACTCATTATCACGTCACTGTCACATCATCTAGTTGTTTTTGTTTTTGTTTATTTATATGTTGTTTTTCCTATTCAAATCAACTTTCACCAACCATCTAACTATGTGAAAAGAATGCCTGAAGCTGGCCAATGTGTTTATGCAAAAATTTAGGAAAACTTTTTGGCATCACTGTTGTGGTTAATTTTTACAAAAAGAAACAAAACCAGAGAAAAAATGTCAACACTCAAGACTGCTTCTGTCGGCCGATTTACTTATTTATATAGAAAAATACCTTCAAATGTTGTTTGCCAGGTAATAACTAACTTTAAAAGATCTAGAAAAAGTACACACAATCACTATCACATGTTTACTTTTTAAAAGGAAGACTTGTGAATAAAAGTATAAGCCTTAGGGCATTTTCTAGATATTTAATCATTCTCTACAACAATTTATAATCACACCTGCACCATATCATGGCGTCGTGTAATCCTTCAAATCTAAAATGGAAGAAAGTCATAGAATTTTTTGAAAAAGTAAACCAAAGTTACCAAACAGACCATCCCAACAATTGCTCTCTACTGCATACGAGTATATCCACAGCCAAATAATACAAAATAGCAAATAGAAAGTTCGATAGAGAAGAATTAAAAGAGTACTCCGTGTGTACGTAGTGCTATATAGCAGGTATCGATAAAGACTAATAAAAAATAGAAATGGAAAATATGGTGCAAAGAGAAAGGAGGCGATTTATGTGGGTAGTGGGTAGACGAGGAAAAACTGGGAAAAATATGAGCGGTCACTCCTAAATGCTAATGTTTTTGACATTTTGATTTTCACAATTGCTATAGGTGCCCGAACCTGCCCCATTTGTTAACCCATATAAAAACCCTCCCCCACTTTCCTTCTCCTCTTCCACCCTCCCCCACTTTTCTTCTCCACTCCCCCCTCCCCTTCTTTTCACGCAGCCCCCCACACCCCCTCCTCTTTCTTTCACTTTTCTCCAAATATTGTTTTCTTCCCCTTTTCAAGATCTCTCCCCTTCATTAATACTTCTCATTTTTTCCATCTTTCCCCCCTCCAAGCTTCTTCTATTGCTTCTCTCCTCTCTCGTCCTTTTTTTTTCATTTCAAATGCACTAGCTACAGTAATCGGACAAACAGGGAGAGTCCGGTGATGTTGTATACATGGGGAGACAACAATGAAGGTGCAGACAAAGAAACTTTGAATGACTTGAGCAGATCTTCTTTTCTTGATTTTTTTTTCTGATAGACAACTTGTAAGTGCAGTGTCTGTATTTGTTAGTAAGACTCATGAAGTTGTCTGTCTGTAATTGATGGTTAATTGTTTGACATTTGTTTTGAGTTGTCTGTATTTGTTTTGAGATGTCTGTATTTGTTTTGATTTGTTTGTATTTGATTGTGAGTTGTATGTAATTTGTGATGTTTATTTTTTGAGATGTAATTAGTATAACGAGACAGACATTAAATATATACATACAGACATTACTTTATTGTGAATTACCATATAGGCATATGTTTCATAAAAAAGACAGACAATACGTATAACTAGACAGACAATAGAGATAACCAGACAGACATTATTTTTCATCACAAATTTCATACAACTTAAAATGAAATGACAAACAAATAAATATGAGTCACAGACAACTTCGTGACTCTTAGAGACACCTCACAATAACATGACAGACAATTAAATATCAATTACAGACATTATTTTTCAAATGACACACAACTTCACGACTCTTACAGGCACTGCAATTACAAGTTGTCTGTCAGACAGACAACCCTTTTTATTTTGAAAATACTTCAAAAATCAAGAAAACAAAATCAAGAAAAGAAGATTTGCTGCTCAAGTTATTAAAAGCTTCTTGGTTTGCCTTCATTGCTGTCTTCCCTTGAGGTTGCATCCGAAATGGCAACCGGCATTGGCCGGCCATCGGCAACCGGTGTAGGGCCGCCCGCCGTCAGCAACATCACCGATGGAAGAGGAGATAAGCAGGAGAAGATTGAAGGTTGGATGGGGAAAGATGGTAAAAATGGGAAGTCTTAAAGAAGGAGAAAGATATTGAAATGGAGAAGAAAGGGGGAGGGAGGGGGTCAGCGGCGGACGCAGGAATTCCGGCTAGGAGGGGCGGCGTGGTAAGAATATACCTACAAATACATATATATTAAAATTTCGGGGTAAATATACCTAGGAAAATAAAATTTTGGGGGGACAACAGCCCCCATTTGCCCCCATGTTCGGTCCGCCACTGGAGGGGGTGCATGAAAAAGAGGATATGGAAGGAGGGGAGAGAAAAAGTGGGGGAGGGTGGAAGGGGAGAAGGAAAGTGGGTGAGAGTTTTTATATGGGGGTAAAAAATGGGGTTGGTTTGGATACATATAGCAAAATTCTTTGTTTTTTGACTTTTTATGACGAAAAGCTAAATGAAAAGAACTATTTTATCAAACGCATCAATTAGCTGATCTATCTAGCCAAAAATTGGCAGATAGCTCTTAACCAAACACCCCTAAATCATTTTTCCAATAAAATAAGTCACATTAAGGTCCACTTTGATTTCGAAATCTGATTGGTTTAGCTTTCTTCCACACAAACCGCCTCTGTCCTTTGATAAATAGACCTAAATACCTAATAGCTCCCCAAAGAATTCATCATAATACTCATCCCAGCCTCGCCCTCTGGATCGGATTGCCTTTTTAAATTTCCAAACGACTATCACAATTCACACATCGCCTCTTTCTCCAAAATTTTCGTTCGTCGGACCCCCTCTCTCTACAATTTTCCGTTCAACAATCCCTGATTTCTTCGGGTTCTCTCTGATTTAGGTAAGCGTAAATTTTGTTTTATGTCATGCACCTACGTATTGCTTTGCATAATCGATCCTTTTCTGTTGTGTTTTGCGATTCGGAACGTGATTGATTTTTTAGGTTTTCTAGCATCCGTACTTATTTTGTTAAAGTTTTGTTCAAACTAGAATAGGTATTATGCTTCGTCGATTTGAAATCCGCTTCTTTTGATGTCTACACCACACTTCATGAGTCATGACCGAGCTATATTTCAATATGTGGCCTCATGAATACTTCGAGCTTCTATCCTACACATAAATGGATGGAAAGGACTTCTAGGAAACAGAATCTTTCTCCCCCAATTGTGATGACCAGTCAACTCATAGTTCTTCTCAATAAATTAAATTCTCATTTTGAGTTACATATATACATTTTTTTCCTTTTTCAGCTCCAAAGTTTTATATATTGAAACACGCATCATATCTTAATTTTTAATCCACAAAGTATGTTTTAATTGTTCAAACTACATTTGTAACTACCCTAGGCATAAAACCAGATATGTTCATATGTCTTGATTCTTAAAGTAGCGAAATGATAATCTGTAATTTTCAAAATTTTCAATCAAGCAAAGCAACCAACTCTTACAAATTATACTGAAATCACAAAATCAAATATGTTCTCCCTTTCTTATCCTTGGGCTTTGGCATTTTCAAATGTATGATTGAAATGCTTGCCTCTTGCTTGTTATCTCATCTCCGCATGTGACACAAAAAAAAACCCTGATATGGAGGTGGAGTGACATATACTCCTTACTACGTATTTAACATCATATGGAAAATAAAAATAATTACATAATTGGACCATCCTAGAATCAAATCCTTAATAGACATAAATTAATAAATCAACGGGTTAAATGGTGAGAATGACTCTGCACCTTCGGTCACTCTCCGTAATGACACCGATGACCGGAAAGTTCCTGGCCTGTACAACCCCATCTGCATGTGATCGAAGCATCCACGGTCAACCTCCTTCCCAAATAAGCTCTCGTACTGTGTGTGTATTTGTAGATCTCAAGTTCTTTTTTGATAGAATCAATGTCTGTAATATTCAATCTTTTGTGCTAAATTCCAATGACCTGTATTGTACATCTCAACAAATATTCCTTGTGAAGTTTTTTTTTTCATATCCACGAAGTTTTCATCCTGCGCTGTTTTCATTGTTCACAGAATTGTTGTATGAGCCAAGACAGTTTTAACCTCAATCAACCTGCCTGATGGCTTCTTTGGATATGACACTTGATGATATGATAAAGAGCAGACGTAATAGTGAGAGAAGTCACAAAAGTCGGGGACGAGGCAGACCTCTACGTGGAAGAGGGGCCAGTGGATCATTTAGAGGTGGAAGACGTGCTGGAGCTCCTCCTGGTCGAGGTGCTCTTGGTGTTAATGCCAGACCATCAGCCCACACCATTGCCAAGGCAAGCTTGAAACTACTGGATGTCTTATGAATTCCTTAAATCATTGTCTCTAGTTTGCATTAGAAATTCCACAATGAGAAGTTCCGTGACAATATTGGGTCAAAGGAGGTGCCCAATTTGGATCATCAATTATAATAAGCTGTTGTGCAAATTGTTCCACGCTTTTCAAGGCCCCCTTCATGTTTGGTTTGTCATATGGAATTTAGTCACAAAGTATGGATAAAAGTTGGAGAGGATGGCTCTGCTCAATTGGGGACTAAAATTCACTTGTTTATAGTGTACCTTAACATTGAGGAGCTTCATTATTTGAAAATTTAACAACTTTCAACAATTAAACATACTTAACATCTAGAGGGCTGACACTCCTAAGTGACCTGTAAACCTCATTAGCAAGTGTATGATGGATGCTGTTGCTAGCTGACAAATTTCTTGGGGGTCGCAGTATTCAATTAGTATCCCAGTTCATGGCGTTTCGCAAAGGTGGCTTTCCTTTGCTGAACATCAGAACTGGAAGTGTTCTTTTTTTGCATAAGCACCAATTGATGAGATACTTTGCAGTGGGTGAAAATCTTCAACTCTCATCTACCCTTCTTTAACCATAGTTGAATTATCTTTGCTAAAAATTACTACATTGATTATTAACCACATCTACCATGTTGGCCATTTGATGATATCTGCTCCGTTCTAGAAGAATGGTGTATATCTGTCACTAGACGTAGTATGCGGATTCTATCCACTGTGGGTGTCATATTGGGTTTGCTTGCTTCAGTCTTTCCGCAGGGTGAAAACTTTGCCTTGGCAGAACAGTTTGTTTGAAGATGGCCTTAGAGCAGCTGGGGTATCATCTGGATTTGAAAATGGTACCAAGTTGTATGTTTCCAACTTGCACCACAACGTGACCAATGAAGATATAAGGGTACACCCTGTTCTTTTGGACATCCCCATGCCCCCATTACAGCTATTTATTCATGCTGTTAGATTGATGATAGTGAAACATTTGAACGCAGGAACTCTTCTCGGAGATTGGAGAATTGGTAAGGTATGCCATCCACTATGATAAGAATGGCCGCCAAAGTGTAAGTTTATTATCTTGTATTTCTCAGTGTTATGTGTATCTTTAATTTCCATGGGACTAGTAACTAATTATAGTATCTTGAGATGGCCTTTCCTTGCAAATATCAGCAATGTTGATTTATAATGTAGTTTGTACTGAATGATTCCAGATTCATGTATATATATATGCAGTGTAATAAAATGTGCCGAGGCATCCAATGTAATTATATGGAGGACTTATATGTACTTAGTCAAGTGTCCTTGTTTTGTTTGAACGTTTTTATTGTTTTTTCAAGCTTTACTTCTGTTCAAATAATATTGATTTGATTCCTAACTTTAATTTTGGTATTTATACAGGGTTCTGCTGAGGTTGTTTTTGTGAGAAGAACTGATGCAATCCAAGCCTTAAAAAAATACAACAATGTACAATTGGATGGAAAGCCTATGAAGATTGAAGTTGTTCCAACCAACCCGCAAGTTCCCTTGTTACCTCTTGTGAATGTTGTTGGAATGAAGAATGGAAAGAGGACAGTTGTCATGAAGTAAGTCATTCATCTTTCTTGCGCCTTTTGCAAGAGTTTAGCTTCATGTTGAAGCCTTTTGGATCATTTAAGATGTCTGGCAAAAGAACAAAATTTTCCAACTTATAGACAACACTCCTTCATATCGTACTTAAATAACAAATTGACATTTGCAGTAGGGGTCAAGGATCTGTAAGGCCTAGAAGAACTGGTGCTCCTCTTGCTACTAATTGGGGTTCTGGGTAAGTAGTTTTTTCAGAACAGATAATTTTTATGTACTTTTTTATCTTTTTTTTTCTATCTTACTATCTATCTCTTGTTTATCTTACTTTTTTTTTTCTATCTTACTTTTATCTTACTTTTTTTTCTCTTTTTTTCTTTTTTCTTTTTTTTCCTTCTTGTCCGTCTTCTCTGTTTGGCATCGACATCATAGATTGTTTCATGTTAGCCGATCCTGAATTCTTTTGGGATTAAGACTTGGATGTTGTTCTTGTTCTCGTTGTACAAGAGGAGCTGGTGCTCCTCTTCCAAACTGTTTGCAAAATTTTATGTTTTCAATGCATTGCTAAAATGCCAAAAAAATAAAACCAACAAATAAATATTGAGCTGTGGTATTCTTTCAATGCTCCTCAGGCAAAGGGACCAAGGTGGACGTGGTGGTCGTGGCCGAGCTGCTGCTGCTGGTCGTGGCAGAGCTGCTGGGGGTGGTCGTGGACGTGGAGGATCAAGGAAGAAAGGTAGTGTTGTGACGTCAGCTGATGAACTTGACAAGGAGCTTGACAGCTACCATGCTGAATCCATGCAGACTTGAATATACCTTGCTCCGGCCACAAAGTCAAACCTCTCTAATCAGTGGATCCCCGTCTTTATATAATTCAAGTTATCAGTTTTTTTGTTCTCTGGTGATTATTACTGATTGTTGATGAATTGATGTTGGGAGAAGGATTCTAGACATTTGTTTTCTAATCTTTGCCAAGTTTTATCATTATTCGAACTGGAATGATGTGCATATAATACTAGTTTCCCGAACTCGAGGGTCAAGAGTGGTGAGTTTCTAATCTTTGCTTGTACTCCATTGTATATTATTAAAGCACTTGCTAGTTCATGTCCTGCGAAGGAAATACTACGTAATTATTAACTTGAGGATTATGTTGTATAATTATGTCGTTCGTAGTACAATATAATCACAGAATTACTTCACGTTTTGTTAGATTTTCTGATTATGGGATAAGGTCGCTTCAATTTCAAAATTCAAACCCTAAGAGGCTATGATAATATACGGAGTATTTTCTATAAAATACTCATAAAGCTAAAAGTTCAGACTTATAAGTACGCAGTAGATTACATCATTGCAGTTATATCAGAGATCGATTTGAAGATTGATACAAATTTTCGTAGGATCTCTCATCACATGACAACCTTCTTTTGTACACTTAGAACAACTGCCACCCTTCACACTTGGTGACAAAATCGTGAAGAAAAACATAGATTTAAGAAACAATTGTTGCACAATTATCTGAACAAAAAAGAAGGAAAAAAGCCACAGGCGTTTTCTTAAAATATACTCCGTAGATTTAAGAAACAATTGTTTAACAAGATAGACGAAATGGGGAAGATTCAATTCAACAGAGATGTGGTTAACCAATGATTGGTTAACAAAGCTTGAAATTCAGACTGCCTCACAGCGAATTTTTGAAGACAATTTTTGAAACAGAGATGTGGTTAACCAATGAGTAAGGCTTTCATGGCTTGAAGACAATTTTTGAAATAAAAAAATAAAAGCGAAAAAATGAAACACTAAATATGAAAAAGTAAAAGAATTCTGCTATAAACGAAATGTAGTAACGAAAAGTTGCTCGAAAGGGAAATTTCCACAAAAGTAAAAGGAAAAAAATGACATGGTAGGCTGGTAGCCATGTTAGAAAAGTCACATGTTAACCGAACATCAACCGGCTGAATTAGAAATTTGACCGTTTTTTTAAAAGTTTAAGGATTTAATCAGATGAATTAGTTAAGGTCTTAAATGATTTTTGGATATAATAATTGGATGGTCAATTTGACAGTTATCCATTTTAAATATGCTTCCTAGAGTCTCTATATCCTACATCCGGGTGTACCTACACCTGGCCCAATTAAGAAAGAGAGCACATTTAACTAAAACAACCCAATGAACATTAGTGTACTTTAGTGAGCATCTGACCTATTGTACTGAGTATTAGGAGACTAACAATGAACATCACGATCTCTGTTTCATATCTTCTAATTCATTTTTTTCTTTTATAAATACTTATTGAATTATGTCTATAATACACTCCTATGAATTTCAATATGTGAATTTAATGAAATACTAACTCCGTCCCGATGGACTTTGTCAAGTGCAAAGTAGGTGAGAAATAAGAATAGTAAAATTTGTGTGGTTGAGATTTGTGTAGAAGAGAGAGAAATGTGCAGAACCACAAATTAGTTGTTTTAATAGGAAAGTGGCAAAGTTTTTTGGGACAATCAAAAAAGGAAAGTTGGCAAAGTCCAATGGGACGGAGGGAGTATATGACATTTTAAAATGAGTATAACATTAGTATTAAATGAGCATGCATAACTTACAAAATGTTTATTGATATGAAAATCGTAAGGTTTGTTAGGTTAACAAAACGACATTTTCATTGAGCATCAAACATCTTCTATTGAGATGAAAATCATGGTTTCCGTGAAATGATCTTTAATGAACTTTTAATGAGCATCAGACTTATACAAATGAGCATATGTAACTTACAAGATGACCATTGATATGAAAGTTGTAAGGTTTGTTCGTTGAGCATCAAGACATTTTAAGTGAGCATCAAACCTCAGTTATTGAGTATTAGAATCTGCGATTGAGTATCATGATTTGTGGTCTCGTGTCTATAACAAACTCCTATGTAAATCTAATGTAATATGAAACTTTTGAAATATACATTGATATAACATTTTAAAATAAACATAACAGAGATACTAAATGAACATACATAATTTACAAAATGAGTATCCAAAATTCAAAAGCTCATTTGTGTATGTTCATTCTTTTTAGGCATTTTGCTCATTTGAGTTTAAATTAAAGCTCATTTTGAATGTGCTCAGTATTAATATATAAAGCTGAACTTTAAATAAATTGAATCATTATAGTTGTGAGTTCAAAGGGAAAAGGAGAAAGTTGCAGGTTCTGAAAAACGCAACTGTGGAGGATATTTTTAGCAAGAGAAGAAGAGGCATTTTTGGAGCTCCGATGTGTAGTGTAGCAAATGAAATCGAGTTATCCAGAGCTCCGATGTGTGGCGTAGAAGAGGAAATGGGGTTATCCAGAGCTGAGAGCAGCTGCAGAGTCTAGCTCTGCTAGTTCGCCTTCCCCCTACCATCTCCGGCAATTTGATGAGTCCGTATTTAGACACACATTTGATGCGTGTTGATATCGGCTTTTGATGTTTTTCCTAGCTTTAAGGTGTTACAAGTCTCAATTTTAGCTCAAGTGTTTAACAGGCGCTGGTTCGAGTTTTGTGTCATTTGGAGTAAAAATCAGGATTTTAGAGTTCGGCACTGGCGCTTGAGGAGAAATCGGGATGAGTTGAGATTCATTCGAGAGTGGATTGAGAGCTTTGGAGGTCACCGGGAGGTTCACGATGAATATTTGATGACAAAAGAGCTCTAGGATTGGCTATGGGATCAAAAGAAGATGAATGAAGCTGGAAAACGACGATCAGGATGACCTTTGGTCAATCGTTCAAGCATATCTCTTTGTATAAGCATCCAAAGGACACGATTCAAGTTTCATATGAAATCCAACTTCAAGGGCTACAAATCATATGAAGACATCGTTCCGAGAATCTGAGAGGATCAAGGTGAAAACAGATGATGAAGTCAGATGATCTCTGCTGCGATTTCAGAATGACACCTTCCACCATTTTGGTCATATCTCGTGATTGGATGATTCAAATCACATTCGTCAAGTTGGGGTGGATAGAGGACTTCAGTATCTACAACTTTCATGAAGGAAGTTTTGTCAAATTCGGACTAGAAAAAAGGCTGAAGAGCACGGACGCACGACCGTGCGTAAAAGGACGCACGATCGTGCGTAAGAGCCAAAAACGCGGCAACAAATCTGCCTACTACGCACGATCGTGCGTGGCAAGGTACGCACGATCGTGCGGACACTCGAGACGCGGATTTCAGCCCCTTTTTAGTCCCAGTTCAGCCCAAACTCATCTGTTTTCTATAAATAAGACCCCCATACCCATTTTTTGACGTTACGAACATTACGGAGAGGCCTAGGGACGAATTTAACACCGTTTTTACGCTAGTTTCTTCCAAGACCCTGGGATTATTTGTAAGTTCATCTTTTTAATTAATGACAATTATTTCTATTCATCTCAATTCTATTGATTCTTCAATTATGAATTGTGAGTAGTTTAATTAGGGATTTGGGGTTGATGAAGGGGTTAATCATGATTGATGGCTAGATTCTTGTCGGTTTAATTGCATGAATGCCGTTTAATTTGTGTTTGAATAATTTAATTGATATCTCTTGTAACCTAGACTGCAGCTAGAATTACAATTGCATGTAGAATGAATTAAGAGAGATCTAATTTGTTCTAGGACACATTCACACACACTTAATCGTTCGCTAAGAGATTAGTAGCGATTAAGGGGCCGTAAGCTCGCTCGTCTTGGCAATAATTTAGGATCATGTCGCATGAGAGATCAGCCTGGTTCCCTAAATTATTGTATTCTACGCCGCGAGAGCGGTAAGAACTTAGTAATGATTAGCTAGGCTCAATTAAATTAAATTCATGTAATTAGGCTTGATCTGCCAGAAATCTGGTTACCCCGGAATCAATCCCTGTTCCCTTCGTCGTTAATTAAGAAGAAACCAACATTTATTTTTTATTCGCTCAACCGCATTAGTTTAATTTTCAAATCAACCAATCTCGCACAACGCATTTATTTTATTTATTTCTTTTAATCGCTGAATTTAATTAATTCTTGATTCCCTTTTGTCCGTCCCTGTGGAGACGATACTCGTACTTACACCACTATATTACGATCTATTTTAAGTGCGAGAAAACTCACATCAGAGATCATCTGACTTCATCATCTGTTTTCACCTTGATCCTCTCAGATTCTCGGAACGATGTCTTCATATGATTTGTAGCCCTTGAAGTTGGCTTTCATATGAAACTTGAATCGTGTCCTTTGGGTGCTTATACAAAGAGATATGCTTGAACGATTGACCAAAGGTCATCCTGATCGTCGTTTTCCAGCTTCATTCATCTTCTTTTGATCCCATAGCCAATCCTAGAGCTCTTTTGTCATCAAATATTCATCGTGAACCTCCCGGTGACCTCCAAAGCTCTCAATCCACTCTCGAATGAATCTCAACTCATCCCGATTTCTCCTCAAGCGCCAGTGCCGAACTCTAAAATCCTGATTTTTACTCCAAATGACACAAAACTCGAACCAGCGCCTATTAAACATAACTTGAGCTAAAATTGAGACTTGTAACACCTTAAAGCTAGGAAAAACATCAAAAGCCGATATCAACACGCATCAAATATGTGTCTAAATACGGACTCATCAGATTCCCCTACACTTAAGTCTTTGCTTGTCCTCAAGCAAACTGAACAACGAGACTTACGATAATCACCACACGGAATTAAAACAATTAGCATGCACACATAGCTAAAGGGATATTCACAGAACAGACAATTTAAATCAAGAAAATTCTTCCCTAAACTACATCTTTGTACTCAAGCTAAACTATTTGACAAAATTATTCACAACATCCTCAAAGTAGTGACAGCAAGCTATAATAAACTAGCTCCCGATCAGAAGGACTTGTGAAGGCGGTGGTGAATGGTCAATGGATAACAAGTAACAGCCCCTTTCTTTGAGAGATTGGAACATTCTAACAAAGACTTAATGTATTCAGGAACTTCAGGGCTATTCTTAGGATCAAGGAACTTAGTAGGCCACATTTTAGGAACAATCATTTAAACCTATGCAAAGAGTAGACATGGTGTACAACTAAGCTAAACCGTCTCGGCACATTGGTGCTTTGACGTATACTTGAAGTACACGGAGGACTAAAGCTAAATTTCAATAGCCTCCAAGTTCATTAATTATGTTTAGTTTTCCTTGTCACAATTCTATGCGCATGATTGAGCGAGGAAGGCGATCG